CCAGGGAAGTCCAGTCCAGATTCCAGATTTCATGTCCCACCAGCATGGCATGGAGGCTGCAGGCAAGAACTGGGATGGTCACAGGCACTGGGCAGACCAAGGGCAGCTAAAGGGGCTAAAACATGGCTTTCCAGGGACATCTACAGTTCCCCTTGGCAGCCATTTCACCCCATAAGTATAAACCTGCTAACACAGCCTAAATTTAGTGTATTGAGCAGTGACTGCCCAGCCACGTACCTACAGTTCTGGAGAGGATCTTCTCTGCTCCCAGCTCCACCAGCTCAACCTTTCCAAGAGCACTCCCACCTCTCCTGGATTTTGAACTTGCTCAGGCAAGAGAACCTCACTTTTTAAAGGGGCATCTTCCTGCACCACAACTCTCAGATTCTGCCCATAGGGCTAATTATGTAAAAGCAGTATTTATTTTTAAATACTTTCCCACTTTACATGAGATTTTAGTTCCAAACAACATGCATCAACTTTTTTTTAAAAACCCACACACAAACAATATTTATCATCCAAATACTCTTTAGAAGCTCAGAGGCTGACATACTAAAACCAAGAATTCCACTTGAAAAATATATGTATTTCTACATTGTTTATAAGGAAATATATATGTTGCTGGTCCATTGATATGGAGCAAAAGCTTGTACCTGAAATTAATTAAAATAATCATATTCAGACATAGGCTTGTCTGCTGAAACCCAATATATTGCACCTCTCTACAGAACTGCTGATTTCATGATCATCTTTATAGATACAAATCAGGTGATTTGAAAGGGCTTTTTTAATGTGTTTCTGTTGTGTTTGGGTTTTTTAACAAGTAGGGAAAAAATTCACTCCTGAGTTAACAGAGAATGCAATAAAATGCCTACATTTTCCATCTCAGATGAGATTTGATGAAGTCATTCACTTCATTTCCAAAGGACATGCATTTGAGGCACGAGAGTGGAACAAAGGGAACTAGGTATAGCTATATGTGAATGTGAATAAATATATTTATAGAAAAATATATCCATACACATGAAGAATTTTGGGAGAAGGACAGCAAGACATGTAACAGCCTGGAAGCAGAAAGGCTGGGTGGGGCAAGGCAATCCTAAGGGCAGGTTGGAGGAAATGTGACATTCCCACCCCTCTGTGAATGCTGTGATGAGAGATCTGTTCTCCAAAGTGTTTTGATGCAGGTGGGGATGATTGAGAGAGAACTGTTATTCACTGAGGACCCCCTGAACTTGTGTGTCTGGTGAGAGAAGGAATCAGAACAGAGTCCATTTTACTATTGCCAAGCACAGCTTATTCAGCTCTCCAGAAATTCCAGAAATCCAATCTCCTGGGCAGTCAGTGGCTGCACTATTCCATCTTCTTGCTGGGATGGAAATGGACCACTGGAAAAAACTGGCATCTGCCTCTGAAAAACTGGTGGAGAACTTCAACCCTTCCAGTCTTCAATGAAGACAAAAGTTGATGTCAGATTTCTCAACATTATCAGGAATAAAATAAAACCCTGGACAATTTTAAGGAGGTCAGTATTTTGAGTTTCTTGAAATAAAACAACAATTTCCCTATGTTCTCCCAGAAACAGTGACAGAGTACAACATGTTTTATAAGCCCTCTCAAAATGAATCATCCACTTTCTTGGGACAGCATCAGAACACACCACACATAAAAAGAATGAAACAACTCCTTTAGTAATGCATTAAGACACACAACTTATCTGTGACCTGATTTCAAGGGCCTTTTTTATTTTTCCTATCTGCAGAAACACGAGCAGGCTCAACCTTTCTGCTCCTTCTGGCTGCCATCGATTCCCCACCACTGCAGGCGAGTGCTCCTCTCCTCTTCCAAGAGCAAAACCATGGCAGCATCTGCTTCTCATAAGCACTTCTGTGCGTGTGTGTGAGTGTGCGTGTATGGGAGAGAGAGGGAGAAGGAAATCTGCTGAATTTAACTCAAAAGTTTGTCACAGGGAAGGGTGGGTTTGGTTTTTTCTTTCCTTTTCCATCCCTCGAATTGTAGAAGCAGGGCTACTGCTACGCACTTAGGTTTCTCCTTTCTCACTTGTTAGCACAGGGGACAATCAGTGACTGAGGGGGAAAAGAAGAAAATTCTTTCACTTCTGAAGTTGACAGACTGGTGCATGAATGGCTACAGACAACAGCAGGTTTTTATTGGCACTTGTCACCCAGAGTTTGCAGAAGTTCCACCTGCTCTGTCCCAGGTTCAGCAGCAGAAACTCTGTGCAGAACAGTATTCCTGGAGGGGAAGAGGCAACAGCTTCCCCACTTCTTCATCTCCACTAACCAACAACTCAGAGATACAATCCAGAAAGAAATTCCCATGCAAACTGTGGGCCTGTTTTGTTCCTGTCCTGTTTTGCTTTGACATCTATAGGGAACCAGAGGAGGTCTCCCATAGTATGAGCTTGTGAAGGGGAAAGCTGTGAGCAGACTGCTCTGGTTAGGCTTTAAACTATTTCAGGAAGCCAAACACACCTCAAAAAGAAATGCTCTCTTTTCTTTTGCTTCCCCTGCCACCCAAACTCTCCATCCCTGAAGTTTAAAGAGGACACACCATCTCTTTAATTTCCACTTTTGCCAAGTCCAAGGGGGAGGGAAAAAAAGAAAAAAAAAAAAAAAAAGAAAAGTAAAAAAAAAAGCTTACAATTTGTTTTTTTCCTCCCAGTATTTCTGATACTGTCAACATTCCTAAGTCAGAACTCTTTTTCTTGAGATATTTCCTGAACTGTACTGTCCTGATAAGAAAGTAAACTGTGGCAGCTGGTACTCCATTCCCTCCCATACAGTCTTCCCACTGCATTATGAATTTATTGGCAAATTGAGGAGCTAGCTCCACCAGAGCAGCAATAATATAGAGAACTGTCATGAGAGTGAAATTTATTGAGAGAAAGAAATACTGATGGACTACAAAGATGAGGAAAAAAACCCCACCACATTTAATTCATCATCCCAACACAGAGACTACAACCTTATTACTTTAAAGCAATATTTAAGCATAGTCCATTCAGCATTTATACACTGTCTCAAACTTCAAATCAGCAAGGTAGAGACTTAAGGGTCTTGCCAAATTGTGATATAATCCTAATGCCTCCAGTGCCAGCATGTCAAGCCCTCTCCCTTGACAAGGGAGAATGCTCAACACCTCGTAGGATCAAGTTCAAACAGCCTGGAGGGAAGCAGCAGTGCAGGGAACCTCGGAGTGGCAGGCACTTCCCAACACCCCCCTCCCCTTTCACACACAGATCCATGTGGTTTCCACCTGACAAAACTACATTTACAATGCTCAGTGCCTTAAAATTAAACTCTTATCTCAGCCATGTGTTTGCATCTTGGTTTTTCCACTTGGCCGGCGTGTCTCTCAAACAGGGATGTCTGAGAACAGCGGTGACAGAAACATAATGCTTTGTAAGAGCCTTAGGAAATACTACAGAGGGACCCTGGGTGCACAGAGCAGAAGGGGAACATCTCCAGGCAATATCCAGGACCCAACAACCCAGGTGCTGACCCTGGGCTCCCCTCAGTCCCACCTAAGCCCACGCTAGAGTCCCCAAGGGCTGGGCACGGGGACCGACCCTGCGGGGACCCACGGCACCCTCACCGCCCTCACCCAGGATTCGTGGTGCCCACCTTGGCTCCAACCAAAGCCTTTATTACCAAGTCAGAGCCAAGGCCCAGGCCAGGGGGGTTCCCAAGCAGAGGGGCTGTGGCTCCACATGGCCCCAGTGCATGCAGGCCTGGCAGTTATGAAATGCAGCGCTGCAGCTGGGTCCTGTGAGCCCCACGGCACGGCACAGCCCAGCCCAGGCAAACACAGCCTGAGGGCAACAGGAGCTCTCCTTGTGTTCTCCTGGTTGTGACAACCTTTTGTTTCCACAAGCCACACATTTTTATAAATCTGGATTTATATTTTTTTGTTCATTTTCCCTGAATATTGATGTTGTAAGTGACCACCTTGAAGTGGCTTAGCTGAAAGTCCTGCCTCTAAGATTTTACTGGTATCTATGAGCACCATAACCCACAGAGAACTGTGTTCAACAGCTTCAGTGGATCATAGATGAGGCCCATATTCATGTCTGATTTAAGAGTATTTGGTCCATTTTGAAAGAATGGATGGGTGGGAAATGCAGTTGCTGTAACCTCAAACTTTGCTCTATGCTAAAGGTGTTTGCAAGCTTCTGACAGTCAGCACAGCACAAAGCCACCTTTAGAAGCAAGAAAAACAAAACCACTTTTACTACAATCTAACACCAGGAAAAAAATATTTGGCTGAAACTTCAGGTGCGAATTATACTTGCTTAAGCTAGAACAAAAGGACAAAAACATCAGAATTCAGTAATGTGGAAACAAAGGAGTTTAGCTCTTTAAAAAGAAAAGAAAGATAGACGTTTGAGGTAACAAACAAAAAAACCCAAAATGCACAAACACATCACAGACATCTAAAAATAGCATTTTATACATTTTTGCCAGTGCTTCTCTGAGAGCAAGTTCTTTAAACAGAACTTAACAATTTTACAATTTTTTTTTAAAAAAATATGTCATCCTAAAATAGCCCGTCAATCCTTACCCAAACTTTCTGTATTTCTACAAAAATAGATGCACAAAGAGCTACAAAATACTGTATTCCTGAAAGAAGGCGCACTGTAGTCAAGGGAGAGTCTTTTTCCTGACTATTGAGACTGTTCATAAAAATATCAAGCTGAACAAAACGAAACACTGTTAAAGGAGCAGAAAGGAGTTAGGTTGCCCAGCTGCAGCAGGCTCAGATGAGGAAAGAAAGAAAAGTTAGGTTTCTGGTTTTTTTCCAACACTGTGGGACCCATAAATGGCCTTACAAATAAAAGGCTCAATAGCAAAACCAGAATAGTTGGCTCTTCATCTTCATGTGTGTCCTTTGCTCCACGCAGAAGGAGTCAGCCACTGCTGTATCACCCACCCAGCTCTGCTGACTCCAGCTCTAGCTGGTCTTAATTTCTCTGCACCTCAGAACCAAGCAGTTTCCTTGCTCTTGTCCTGATGCTGTAGACCTACATTTCAGAAAAAGAAAAGGAAAATAATTAATATCAATAAATAGTAAATTAATAAATCAGATGGTTTCTTCTTACCCCTCCCCAAACAACTGAAGTAAAGAAAAACAAGTTTTGAATTAAAAAATATTTTAAAAAAGAAAAAAAACCCACCAAATGACAATTTATCAGTTTAAAGGACTTGTTAGCAACAGTGTTACTGCTCCAAACCTTTTGGTTTATGAGGGGTAAAATTAAACCATATTGAAGTTTGATTCTGGCTTAAGCATTTCAGAAGTGGTGATAAAATTCCTGCATGCGCTTCCTTGGCTTGAGCTCATGTGGAACATGGCATGGAGTGAAAAAACCCCCCGTAAAGGTCTGCATCAATTATCCAGTAGGCAGCAGAGCAGTATTTCCAGGCAGGGTCCAGCCACAGACACCACCTCCTCTAGAAAATGCCTGGGACACTTCAGTATTTCACAGTTTCTGTGGCATTTCACCTCGCAGAGGAGAGAGGGGAAAATGTTCCTGCAGCAGGCAAAAAATCCCAAATAATTTCACCTACAGAGTGCAAGATTTCCAGCCAAGAATGGCTAGTGCTTCCACATGGGAAAAATTAATGGTTTTCAGCTTGCATTTGTTATGAGTTCCTCTAACATTTTCCTTTGTAAAAAAGTGAGGACTATCTAATAAATGCGGTGCTATGCTGTGGCTCTAGCATTATAGGCTTGGAACCTGCCTTATAATCTGGGATTTCTCTGCTCCAGAGGGATCCAATCTCTCTGTTCACACCTAAGAGGGCATAAACCTCAAATGCAGACAATAGAAGGGCAGGTGCAGATTAAATGTCTCAAAGAAGATACATTCTTGCTCATTTATAGGGAAAGTAAAGGACAGAGATGCAGGCACGTATTTTCAGAGGTAGAAAGGCACTCCAAGTCTCAATGATTTAAAACCTGTCCTTTGATGTTTTGAAGCAAGTAAACCACATTTCATGAAAAGAAGGTACATTTCCCACTAAAAGTCATCATTCCTGCTATGCAATGTACCAGGGCACCTGCCTTGCTAAGAATTTTGGGTTAATTTCACCACTAATGTAAATAGGTGCAACTCCAGACCTCTGTGATGTTGTAACCACCAGAGCTCCGTGTTCATGTGATGTTTAACCACATGCTAGGCATGGATCTCATTTCCAAATCCAGTCACATTGTGAATATGAAGGAAGACCCATAAGTTTTCAGAAAACTTACAGGCAGGCATGGAGGGTTCAGATCTGACAATTACCTCCTTACTTTAAGATTATAAGCAGTTAAATATTTAATGATGATCAACGTTTCAGAGCTGAGCTGCAAAGCAATTAGCACTCACATAAAAGATGACAGCATATGGCTCTGTCCTTGTGAGGATTCCCAAGCAGGGTACAAACACTTGTGTGCCCAGCAGTGAAGAAAAAGGGAAAGTAAAGCCCACAGTTGTGCCCAAACCTTGTTTAGTGCTTTTTGCCCCATTTCACGTGCACTTGTACCTGTTTCTTCAGACTGGAAAAACTAGGATATCCCTCAGCTAGAGCATGCCTAAAAAAAAAATGTTCAGAGGCTCTTTATTCAATGAAGATGTCTCCTTGTTGCTTAAGAGCTATTTGTTTCCCTGGCAGCATCATACACAGCCATAATGAACTGCTGCTCCCTTCAAAGCTCCCTCAAAGCTAGTGATGACAATTTCGGGCTATTTTTCCCTTGCTGTTTACAATTTTTTAAACAAAGATGACCCCCCCCCCAAAAAAAAAGGAAAAACAAAAAAAAGTTAGACAGCAGAAAACTTTCAGAGCATAAAGAAGTTGTTTAAGTTCACCAGTGGACCACTAAAGGACACCAGAGGCCATGGAAGCCTCTAAGAAGAGAAACAGGTTATATGGCTCCCAGCAGCTTAAAAAAATGACACACACACACACACACGTGTTTAAGAGATCTTCCATCTGACAGCAGCAAGTGGTAGAAAGGGAATAACTAGCTGAACAGACACCTCCCTTGGCAGGTGTCTTTTCAAGGCACAATTAGCTGTAACAAGGAGGCTTAAGGTATAGCTACAGACTCTAAACAGCAAGAGAAAACAATCCAAAAAACCAAAGTTGTCCTATTTACAGAACTGAATGTGGAACACTTTCTATGCCTTCTCCTCATTATATTCCCATCTCCTTCAAGGCAAGGCCATCTGCAGTCCTAGCACAGAATCCAAGGCTGGCTGCTCACCCAGAGCTTCCACCTGCAGTGCTTTCCTTTCAGCAAGGAAATCCTCACTTGCACTGCTTGACCCAGCACTGCCACTCCAGCAAAATTCCCCTTCCCTGGGCCACCTACTTTAGAGCTAACTGCCACACAAATATTATGCAGGTTCTGTGGGAACATCTAAGCAAATTTAATGAGTTGTGACAAACTCGTGGGATGTGTGTGAACAGAGACAAATGTATAAAAGGGACTGGATTGGCCCCTCAAACTCCAAATTCAATGTATTCAATGTACGTAATTCAGTGTATGTCAGCACACTGACACACAGGCATTTCCAAAAGGGAATTTTCCACAGTAAACCAGGACTAAAGGATGCTGATTAATTCACCTAAATTTCAAGTTATTCACCGCAGTGTGCATAACTTTATACGATGAAGAACTCACACCTCAAATTTAACAGATTTACAGCCATCACTCATGCCAAAGTCCCGCTTTGCTTTTAGTGTGCTGGGGGTGCAGGAAGGCTCCTCCAGCTCATCTGTCCCACAGCAGGACAGGATATCCTCCTAGGCTCTGCAGTGGCAAGGCAAGATGCTCTGCTCTCCTCCCCCTGGGCTGCCTGCAGCACAGCCAAACCCCACTACTCACCTGAAGGGTCTGGGATGCAGGACACCTCCCACCCTGCTCCTGAGGGAAGCACTGATGGCTACAACCACCAGCAGCACTGAGAGACAGGAATTCCCCTTCCCTAGCCCCTGATCTGAAGTGCTGGAGGTGGCTTAAGCACAAGCAGGAAGCTTTAGTGGTGACACTGGGTTACAGCTGCAGCCCTGAGCCACAGGCAGAGCTGGGGACAGCCCAATCTTGCTTTGCATGACAGCAGCAGGGCAAGGAGCTCAGGCTTAAATCCAAGCAATCTCTGCTTATTCCAGCGTGTTTATATCAATGCTTGACATGAAATGTACTCTTTTATTGAGCACTGTAGCTTGTGCACTTTGGAGAGACACTAAACACCAGCAGACACAAACCTAGCAGGTTTTATTAACAGCTCTTGATGCAGACCAGCACTTTCTTTAATTGCACTTGGACTGATACAGAAGCTTCCAAAAGGGTTAATTTGCAGCCTTCAAGGTGAGGATTAAGCCACATTTAATGGCAATCAGGTAGCTAAATCCTCCTTCATCCCCTAAAACAGGACTGTGTAAGTTCAAACAGATGTGCTAGACAGATCAATAGTTTGTCAGCTCTGTGCTGATGTCCCACACAATGTGTTCTGAGCCATAAATTCCCAAACTACACCGTGCATGCAGTGGGAACCTCCTCTTAACTTCTGGAGGGATTCGGCATCATCCATTCTTGAGATGGATTATTTGGCTTGGCAGGGCAGAGATGCAACAATGTAGCTGGAAGAGGGTAAGATTACAGCCAGCCTGCCCTGATCCCAATACCATCATTCCACATAATTCAGCGTGAGGAATTTTGCAGATGTTCCTACAATCCATGTGACAGCAGCACAAGAAATGTGGCCCATGATAAGAAGAGGGAGAATCAGTTTGTAAGTGAAGGACTCCAAAAGGCAATGTCCAGGTATAGACTAAATGAACTTTTTTAACATAAATCACCTGAAACTTATGGAATCTGATATATTGAAAGCTCCACAGGCTATTTTCTCCAGAGATATATGAACAAACACTTTCAGAACTGACATATTCTTGCCACTATGTCCTTACCCTACTCTGGAGAAAGCACTTTATGTCACTAAAAGCCAGTTCACTCTTCCAGGCTCTTGAGTTTGTAGCCTCTCTCTTAAGATTGCTCTTTGACATTGAGGTTAAATGTAACAAAATGCTGTGTGATGTGGAGATGTATCCAGTATAATCTGCTTTCCCTGAAGTGCAGATGAAGCAAGTGCTGGATGTGACTCCATGCGGTACTTGAGCAAACCCTCCTCTCCCCATACTTTCTCTGGGATGACTCTGCTGGATGTGCACACAAAACCCTGAGGCAATTAAGCTCCCTCTTCTCTCCATGCCACGAGTGCTGTAACCAAAGCACTTGTCTCAACTGCACAAGCTAAAGGCAGGGCTGAAAAGGGAGCTCAGCCTTCCTGCCCTTCCCAGCAAGCCTCTGCTTGGAAAGCATGGGAGAGATGAGTGTGCAGGGCAAGAGAGCAAATAATTGTAATGTCACAAGTTTCCACTAGCTGCTGTGTTCCAATGCTTGCACCCTTGTTTCCAAAACTGGGGCTGCCTGACAGGGTTTTGCTGTTGTGTTTTAGTGTTGTGACCCTTTTGAATAGTGTCAAACTAGTGAGACAATGGTCTGCTGAGATTCTCTGTTTTTTCAAACCAGTCACACGTTTCCCCTCTTTCTTTTTCCCCATAGGAACTCAGAGACTAAAACCCACACAACCAAGCATGGGTCAGAAGTGAACAGCTCAGATCCTTCCCACTGTCTCCCACAGTGGGAGGAACCAAGTGACATGCAAGGCACTGCCAAATCAGGATCCTGACTAAATTTGCACCCAACTTTACCCTTCCAAAGGGATTTTCACAAGGAGCAGGCAGCCAAAGCTGTGTTTGCTCTCTAAGGCAGTGCTAGGACCCAGTCCTTTTTGAGGTACTTGGTCTTAAAGAGAAAAACAACTCACAGTCTAGGCTGGACTTGCACCTAAGCCAGGCAGAGGCTTCTCCTGACTAACAGTTCCTTACACAGTTCTCTGTTCCACCCCCAAAAGGATAAGCCAAATACCAGGGCTCTGCAGGTGGGGCTGGGTCCAGGAGGGCTTGTCCCTTACCCCAGTGACAGTGACACTCTGCTCATGCTTCAGAGAGGGCAGCTCACTCCCCTTATGGCGTTTGTCACAAGGGAAAAATCCCAAGATCCCAGTCTGGTTAGTTTAGCATTCTGTACCCAAAAGCATAAAATAGAATTATTCTTGTTTTGCTGCTTTAGCTAGCAATGTTATTTATATATATAAACTGTCCACTGTTAAGAATACTGATAAGCTTTTTCTTAGTTTTATTGGCATCAAGACAGCAAGTGGCATAGTATTTAGAGGAGATCACTGGTTCCCAATTGCTTTAAAGGGAAGAGACAGATTTGAATTAGGTTCATAGTATTTCATCTTTAACAAACAGCCTTTTTTCCCCCATCAATTCTTGGCTCCCCTGCCACTAAATCAAGGCAAAGAAATGGTTCTCAGACATTGAACCAGTCAGAGAGAGCTATCAAAAATGGAGACAAATAGATACTTTAAGGAAAAGGGAACAAAGATACAAACCTAGTGTTTCCTTAATCAGATAACATACTGTCTTTAAGAAATACTGATCTGCAAGGATTGCTGCTGGTGAGATAAATATCAAATGGAAAGAGGAGCCCTCAGTGGGGCCCATGAGCTCCAGGACAGATGCACTGGAACTGTCAGTCACCTGATGGCCAGAAACTTCAAACCCTGAGGGCTGCCAGACTGCTTCTGATACTGAGGCGAGAGACTGCCACTCAAAGCTCACAGACACAGATGGAGCTCATGCTCTGCCCTTCAGACTGCAGACCCTGCAGTGAAATGAATTTCATTCACACACCTCTGCCTACACCCTTATAGTAAGATGTTTAGATTGATGGCAAGCTCAGCTCAATCAGCACCTCTGTTCTCCATGTGACACCTGGATACTACACAGGAAGGAATGCTGAGCTGCTCCACCTCAAGATGCAGTCCTCATGTACTGCAAGGTATTAGTTCATTGGAGCTAAATACTGGTGGATGCACATATGAACTAGCTGAACAAGCTGAGAACTTCCTCATGGAAGCATAATTAACATTTCCTCACAATATTTAAATAAAAAGGAACAAGCAAAAAATGCAGATTGTGTCACAACCCATCTGGCTTGAATGGGACCAAGGCAGATAAAGGTCTCTCAGCAGAAGGCACATATGAACTAGCAGAGAACTTCCTCACGGAAGGATTTTCCAACAATATTTAAATAAAAAGGAACAAACAAAAATTGCAGATGGTGTCACAACTCATCTGGCTTGAAAGGGACCAAGGTTTCTCAGCAGAAGGCAGGGAGAGCTGCCCTGACAGCAATTACAGGAGGGAATCATTTGGACACGTTTTTGTTTAGTGCTTTCTGCTCCATTTCACATGCACTTGTACCTGTTTCTGCAGGTTGGAAAAACTGGGATATCCCTCAGCTAGAGCATGCCTATAAAAACATGTTCAGAGGCTCTTTATTCAATGAGGATGTCTCCTTGTTGAGAGCCAGCCCTGCTTCAGCTGCGGGGAGTTCATGTCTGCTCAAACAAGTCACAGACGACAACAACAGCAACAACAACATAAAAATTACAAACAAAATTTTAAAAAATTAAAAAAAAAAAAACAAAACCAAAACAAAAACCCCAAGCCATCTTACCTGTATCAAACCCAAAGCTGGGCACGATGTCCACGGTTCCGTGGAAGGCTCCGGCCCAGGCTGAGGTAGCGCCGGCGGCGGCAGCGGCGGGCTCGGCCTTGGCCCCGTCGGCCTGGGCCGCGGGGATCCTGGCGGCGGCGCGCACCGAGGGCACCAGCAGCGAGCCGTAGCGCGGCTCCCGGTGCTGGGGATGATGGTGAGGATGGTGGTGGTGGTGGTGCACGTGGGCATGGTGAGGGTGGTGGCGGTGCACGTACACGTCGTGCATGTGTGCGTACGAGGGGCTCACCTGAGACGCTAAGGGGTAGGGCCAGGCCTCGGAGGCGGCCGGCGGAGGAGCCGGGGCAGTCTGGTGCAGGCCGTGTCCCGGCCAGCTGCTGGGATCTGCTGCTGCTGCTGGGAAGGTGCCTGGTGCAGTCACGGGGAAATCGGGGTGCACGCCGCTCAAGCAGGGGGGAGGAGGAGGAGGCTGGTAAGAGCTGGTCCAGAAGGAGGTGGGGAATCCGCTCCTTTGGCTTGAAATCGTGGAGCTTTCTGGTGGGGAGGAAAGAAGGGAAGTGTGACTGAAGCTGAACAACACATCCCAGAATAAAAACCCCACAATGATTTGCTGCTCTCTGAAGTTTGTAAGGCTGAACTCAGTAAATACAGAATCACTGGACATTTGAGGTAGGAAGATTTGTCACTCTGATTTAAATTTTTCTAAGCCTTCCGATGTTTACATTCTTGTAATGAACTTTCTCACACGCTTTCTGTAAATCATTTATTGTTTTGCATTCTTTTACAGAGGAAGAGAAATTTGATGGACTGTTGGTTTGTCCAGTGCCATTGGAGAGGTGGCACTTTCTCCCTCCAATCTACTGTCACTTTTGGAAAACTCTGAATGTTGGAGTTAGAAAATAAACTTCCCTTTTTTCCACCTTCAGAGCAGCGGTGTGTGCGCTCGTGGTGTTTTGTGTCCTAGAGTGACAAAGATTGCCTAGTCCAATTCCCCTGTTCAAGTGGGGGTCACCTGGAGCAGCTGTCCAGGACATCGTCCAGTCAGATTTTGAATGAGCTCCAGACTCTGCAGCCTTTCAAAAAAAAAAAAAAAATCCCCAAAAGCAACAACCAACCTAAAAAATCCAACAAAACAAAAAGTTTTCTTGTATTCAGATGGAATTTCCTGTTTTCTAATCTCGGCCTATTGCCTCCTGTTCTGTCAGCAAGAATTGCTGAAGGGAGCCTGGCTCCCCCCATCTTCATTCCCTCCCATCAGGTTTTCACATACATAAGATTCCCGCCTCAAGAAGATTTTTCTTCTTCAGGCTGCAGAGTCAGAGCCCTCTCAGGATCTTGGTACAGAAATTGTGAGCAGATGCTAACTCTTGCGCAGACTAGAGCACATCATTTGGAAAGGCAGCTGCTGTGGCTGCAAATGCTTCAGAGGAAAGAGAACCAGCTCACACAGCAGAACAGGAAACATTTGGCTAAAAGAATACCTGATTTTCTCAAACTAATTGCATGCTTTGATGGGATAAAGGTCATATCTAACAGCTTATGTTATTCCTTCATAGAATATATCATGATGCCCTCTACCCAATATGATCCTACAAGCAGAACCATCTATGTAGGTCAAAAAGGTTTTTGTCAGAGCTAAAAGACTTGCTGCTTCTTACAGCTAGGGCTCAGCTTATATTTAAATGGATTCCAATACCTCTACATTATGAAATCACATTCTAAAAATTCCTCTTTTGAAGGAGCAGTTAGTGTTTTTGATGTGCAGCAAAGTCTTGGCTTCTCCATTCTCACAATCCTCTTGCCAGCTCATGCTAGAAAGTACTGCTTCATGCAATATTTCTCAGCTCCAATAGGACTTTTTTTTTGGTCAAAGATGGAAACATAAAAATACAGAACTTTACCTCTGATGAAAGAACAGTCATAAAAATGGCCTATGGAGAAATAAAGCCAGAGAAGTTTAGCATTTGATGAGGCGAGGAATCCTCTGTTCCTCATAACTTTTGTAAGAGTTTTTTTTTTTTTTTTTAAATCACCTTTTGTTTTGCTTTGTTTAATAAGCAGCTGGAATGAGACTTGGGTGAAGACACCATTGAGAATGAACAGATTCTTCAAACACTCCTGCCTCTGAACTTTGCTTATACAAAAATATTTTGGAAGTAAAAACTTGAAAGTGTTTTCTGACTGCATCACTAAGACACTCGTGTCTCTGTTTTAAAATCCATTAAAATCATAGAAATTTTTCCACACATCAGTTGGCTTTGATTTAGGCAGTTTTTTGAGTCTGATTAACTTCCGATATTGGAAACAAACTTTGCAAACATACCATGGACAAACATTGTGGATGCTTTGTGCCAAAATGCTTCAGAGGCTGCAAACTTATCTGGCAAGCTGCACTCCATGGGTTTCTTCAAAAGGTTGGGCTGCTTTTAGCAATGTATTTTTATTGCAATTCATGCTTGAAGACTACAGAGAGCTTCAAGCATATTACAGAAGCCTCAGCACTCCTCCAAAATTGGTATTGTTCCTTGTTTGTAAACCATTCCTTGTAAAAAGGGATTACACTGAGATGGAGAGTATGTATGGCTTGTGCTGCTGGCAGCAGGGCTGATACAAAAAAAAAAAAAAAAGCAAACTTCATGTCCAGTCTGTTGTTTTCCACACTACTTAACAGAAGAGCATAGCCTGACAATGCTCTGCCAGTATTCTGGAAAATTAACCTCTGTAATCGAGTTTTTGAAAACTATCTGGCTGTTATCTGCATGGAAAAGCCCTAAATCCAAAGCTCTGCACTTCAAAAAAGCACAGAAAACCACAAAGTATCTGCAGGACAGCTTTAGTAACAGGAGAGAGCACTTTAAACCACAGAATCTGCCAACGTGAATTCATCCCAGATTGCATAACAGCTTGGCTTTACCAGTCATGCAGGAGGTCCAGGCCACAGCAAACATGTTTGGTCATCTCCATTTTCCAAACCTGTGCAGGTTTCACAAAGCCATCACTGCTGCCTGACACTGTTAGGGGCCAGTCCCCACTGGCACCACTGAGTGTGGCCATTCTCACTGGGAAAGGTCAGTTCTGCCACTGGACACAAAGGCTCAGCCCATGTCACATAAACATGCAGGAAAATTTCACCCACCCCGAGTGCTCAGGGATACCTGGCCTCTATGGAACATGGAGAAACAGCCATGTTTCTCCACTACACTTGAAAAAGAAAAAAATAAAAACTCAAAAATCTTCCATGGCCTTTCAGGAGGCGTTTAACAAAAACTGCCAAGAAAGATACTACAGTCACCACAACTTCCTACCCTAAGTACAGGGAGGCAGGGACAAGGCAACATCCCAGGGACCACAAAGCTGTGGCTTATACAAATATTCACAGTGGTCAACCCAAATGTTCACAACACACACTGAAAACACACCAGAAGTGCACACACTGGAAAGGAGACAACATATGGAGCTTTCTGTAGCACAACATCAGCTCTCACTTAAGGCAAGAGGAAAGAAAAATAAGACAGAAAAACAACCCAACACTTTCAGCAAGGAAAAACATGTTGATAAAAATACCATTAAAGTAACATTAGTGTCAAGGCATCATTAGCACCAGCAAAAGAATTCAGGCAGCTACACCTAAAATTCAATATTCACATTACTTGAGCCTGTCATACAGAACTGTATTTTATAAAAAATCAGTTTTCAAAATAATTTTAGCCCAACCTGATCAACATGCAAATGATAAAAAAAAGCTCTTTTCAGAACAACAGGTTCTGTTCTTATATGTAAGCAAAATCCCTCCTCAAAACAAGCAAAAAACCCCCTGCAATATCACCTGGATAAAAATCAGAGTTTGCATTTTTATCAGAATGCCTTAAAAAAAAAGAAAACAAAAAAAGATGAAAAAAACCTCAAAAACATTGCTAATTCCTCCTTTCAGATAAAGGAGAAAATGCAGCAAGCTGGGGAGCCAGTTTGTGCTCACACACTTTCCACTGAAACCTGCATCTCCCAAAACAGCTATTGCAAAATAAAATACTTTCTAGTTTATCTCTGAGTAAGAAATTGACAGCAATTCTGACTACCCATGAAGGTTATTTATGGAAGAACCTCAAGCTAATAATAATTTAACTTCTTTAGGTAATGGGACACAAGCTCACACTCATGTGCTGTAACTGAGCATCTCTGATACTATGCATAAACCAGAAGTCCAAACTGACAGTGTTGCTCCTTCCACCTTGCTTTCAAGCAGGAACATTTCAGAAACCCATTTGGGCCTGATAAAAGCTCCTGTCAGCTTCTCTTCTCTGGAGCAGCAAATGCTGTCATCTCCCAGCAGCCTCCCCAGAGATCTCCATGCCCCTCCAGCAGGTGCAGGGATGATATCTCCTTACTCTATTCCCAGAAGATGTTCAGGACATGCTGACCTCCATTCCCCACTGAGGGCATGGGGCACACGGGGTCAGGGGACAGCATGGCTGGAGAACCCTCACACCAGGCCACTCAGACCCCTCTGGGGATGGCTGTGAAACCACAGAGGGGGGACAGGGAAAAACAACAGGGTATGTCCGAGGCCAAAGGGAAGACACGCGACCGCACCCACAGAACATCCCCAGGCTTGCTGAAGAGGGCTTGCTGTGGGCATGGGGTCTCTGGGGATTGCCTTGATCCTGCTGCTAAAACATTTATAGCCTGTCTGGGCCATTTATAAACGCTCCAGTCTCCTTTTTAGTAAGCATAGGTTCAATCCTGCTCTCAGTCGAGTCAATGGAAAATTTCCCATTAACGTTAATGGTCCCAGCTCAAGCCATAAATTCCTCCAGCTCCCCAGCCACTTGTGCTGACCTTTGCTTAAACTTCCTCAGATTTGTCATCATCCTTCTGGAAAGCAAGCTCTTCTGTGCTATTTTTCTCTTCACAGTTGTTTCCAAATATCCCATCTCTCTTCAGTATCTGTGACTATCATCAGCGCAGTCTCACCTCCACATCACTGATTAGGAACACCACTGCTCCTGCTCAGATCCTACCAGTACCTCTCTCATCAACCCAGTGTAAGGCCATTGCTCACCCTAACTCATCTGCTTAGTCTGCACCCCTCTGCCAGTCCACGTAAGGATGTGATCAGAAACAATGCAGCTATGGGGATCTTAAAAAACACCCAGACTGCCACATCCAACAAAATGGAAACAGCATCTTATTGCCACACTTTTCCAATTTGGAAGTCTTGTCTGTAGTGTCTCTGGCAAGATCTGCTCACTGTCACACCAATACATATAAAGTATGTAAGTATTTATGTGCATAACAAGAGGACAGCGTTGTTAATCACTGTGTTAGGACAGTGAGTAAATACCTCGCAGAACCTACCACATTTCTGCTCCCTGCTCGGAGGCAGAGTAATGTCATGGCCATTTTACACCCAGCAAGCCATAACATCATCTGTACCTCTCCCACAAGCAAGCTGCAGTGGAAAACACCACGTGGCTGCAGCCACGGGAACCAGGGCTTGCCTCCCAGCCCATTCCATCCTGCGCTGGCTCCTCCCCGCCTGGAAAGCAGCCGTGGACAAATCCTGATCACCTGGCAAAGCCACTTGAGAAGGCTGCATAGGTTTCCTTCACATCCAAGGCCAGCACCCCAAACAGCTTTGCTCTTGCCTCACAGGCCAAGTTTCACACTTGGAGCTAAAAAAAACAAGCCTCCAACCTCGCAGCAGACGTTTGTGAAGCCCTCTCCCTCCCAGCCCCTGGCAGAGACAGGATATGGCAGGAGCTGGAGATGCCTGCTTCTTTCATGCCTTTGGCTCCTCTCTCCCACTTTAACACCTCAGATCACTCAACCCAAGAAGCTCCTCAGCTCTTGGAGATTTGAGGGGGATATTTCCACTTCCACAGAGAAGCAGAATTTCAGCTGCAATGCATTGTGTGTTACTGCAATGCAGCCCGAGTAAGCCACGCCACAGAGAGCAAATTCCTGCCCCTCTTACCTCTCCACAGAGGATTCAGCCCTGCCTTGCTCTTGGAAAGGGCAGTCTCTGAATTGAAGCTACTGGCTTGGCTCAAAGCTCTCGAGAAGTGTTCATCCACCACGGAACCAATGTCTCCCTGGAAGTAAGTGAACAGGACACAGCGAGAGTTCAGGTACTCCATCTCGGCAGGCTGGTCTTTCTCATCCTCCTCTTGCTTGCTGGGAAGGCTCACTTCCAGAGACTCCTGCATCTTGTTGTACACAGCTAACTTCTTCTGGGATTAGAAACAAAACAAACAAGAGATGCATCAGTGATGGCATTCAGCAGAAGCTCAACATATAGTTTCCTTAACAAAAAATAACTGAATACACAGATTATTCATTTTGTAATTAAATTTGGACTACCTGGATACTGGCATTTCACAAAGAAGAGAATACCAGCACCCACTTAAGAGTCTATTCCTCTCTCACACAGATGGACCTGCTTCTCAGACATGTTTCACAACAACAATTTATCAGCACCAGCTTTCACTCAATACTTTCAAAAGAAAGCAGACAGGCTCTAACAATTCCCTCCTGATTCCCACCTGGGGAGGATATTCCATCAATAAAGGCTACAGAGGTCAAGCCCAGCCCTGTGGAAGGGTGGCCAGATACACAGCATGTGCATTTCACACATCCAGCTGGGCAAGCACCAGATTTCTCTGGGCACACTCCTCCAGCTGAGCATACAGGGCCCTCTGGATTCCCCACACTTACTGCTGAAGCTGTAAAGGTGGGAGAGTTTCCTGCTTCCTGAAAAATTTTCTACTGTATTACCAAAATCCACAAAATGCATATATTTTCACTCACTGATGACAGAATTTTTATCACAGGAAGTTATAGCTTGGGGTGGTGACTGGGGGCTGGTCAGGGGTTTGAGAGCTTGGCTTCTTGGTTGGTTTGGGGTGGTTTGTTGTTGTTTTGAGGTTGGGGTGGAAAGGGTTTCTTTTCCTTTTTTCTTTTTTTTTTTAACACCAGCTTTTGGGAAAAGGGAAAAAAAATTCAAGTCATAAAAAATTAAACATGTGATCTGGGGGAAGAAGGGGATTGACAAGTCCGCAAACACATGCAGAAAAATCCACCCCAAACCAAAAACACAGAGAAGCATATAAAAAACTAAAACCCTCACAAGCCATCTGTGAATGGCTATTTCAGAATATTCTCTCTCTCTCTCCCTCAAATCAAACCTAAATGTCAAAATAAATGTGTGTGAAGATCCATTTTGCATGGAACATATTTTTCAGATGTTCCACTTTACAACTGTTTTCACAGGGAAAAAAACCTCTCCCCACAACAGTCAAGCTGCAGGAATCATAGCTTTTAGCTAGCCAGCCATTTCCACAGCTGACTTTACACACAAGCACTTTCAGGAACCCAAAAACAACTACAGTCCATATGCAGAAGTATTTCATAGCATTCCTATAGAATTACAGTTTGACTTATCTTTAATGGCTTGCTTGGCAACACTCTAGCGCCATCAGAATCTCTTTAAGTTTATGGCTTTTTTACCCTTTTTCTGAAATAGTTGTATAGAAAAAGTCAAACAACTACACACTCTATAAAGTTCCATTTTTACAATAAATATGCTTGTACAATTTAGAAATAATCGAAAGTAATTTTCTGACCTTGTGTACCATCACTACATTTAAATTCGGTGCTTTCTAAAATCATATACTCTGACAGAAATTCTCTCACTGCAGTACAAAATAAATGCTCTGGGGCAAAGTCTTAATTATGAACAGTTATTTTAAAAAATAACTGTAAGAAAGAGCTATTGACAAGTGGAATTAAAACCTATTATACTTAAAGCTCACGGCAACTTAAGCAACGTATCTGACATTCCAGTGGGTTAACTGATAAATGTGACGCAGCTCAGTGATACCATTAATTCAGATGCTGTTGTACAAACTGCAGTGTGAGACACATACAATTTTATTTCAGTTGGGGATAGCCAGGCAATGGCCTGGATTTCCAGTAAATCAGTGCTTCACAAAGCAAAGTTATACTGTGGCTCAGTTTAGCACAATATTACCTAGACTTTTGGGAGAACTGCTGGGATTCACTTAAAAAAGTAAATAAAATAAACAAAAATACATGAACTGCAAAATAAAGCAGTCTCTAGTAAAACTAGAACTGCTAAAATGAAACAGTCTGAGGGTGTAAACATATTTTTGCAAATGCAGAATTTGGGGTAAACTACACTTTTTTTGGAAATGCTTCGTGCCTTCTGTAAACAAACAAACGTCTCAGGAAAGTTCTCCAAATATTTGTTACCCAAATGCTTACTAGGATATCACTCAAACTGAGCTTCATGGTTTTGTCTGAGTAATCACTGACCCCTGAGACCTCAATAAGACAGAAACAGCTCTAGCAACACTGCACATACAGGAGACACATGCACTGGAACTCTGCAACGCATCCACCTCGGCGATTTGGCCATTCCTGAAGCTGCACCACAACTCAGATCCTCTTAAAAATGCAGGACAAGTGGCTGGGGAGGGTGCTTTCCTCATTTTTGGTTTCTCCTGGGCTTTTTTTTCTAAGTAGAGACAAAGCTTGAAAGAGATGCTCTAGAGAAATCCCAACATGCCAGACCTTGAAGAGAGGCAGCAGACATTCAGAGCTGACTGCCACCCCTACAGGTGCCGGCACTGATGCTGCAGTTGTGCAGATGCAGACACAAGCACGCAATTACAGACAGACACACACCACTAACACAGCCCCTGGCTTGACTCGGTGATCAGGAAGGAAGTCTTCCAATGTTCCTATACAGGGACTGGAGCTCAGGAAATTAAAACTTATCTCCAGAGTGGCTTCTCTGCACAGGAATGTTCCCCCTTCCACAGCTTAAGAATCTAATTCGTTTTCCATTTCAACTCTCTTCCCTCCCCTCCAGTCCACTGACAGTCATTACAAGATGCTCTGAGCACTTGCTCCTTTCAAAACCACCAAATCTGATCTTTTTTTTTAATGTAAAAAAAAAAAAATTCTAATCCAACAAAAAAAAGATAGTAGGACTGATGGACAAGAACACGGCCTTGTGTGTGTGGATTATGTACAGTGCAAAGGTGTGGTTTGCAGCAAAGGATGAGGGTTCTAAATAAAAAGATTTTTCAAAACAGCAAGCCCGTGATCAGACACAGATCTAATTAATTGGCATTTCAGGAAGAAATTATCAGCCTGTAATTGCAAAACTCTTTAAGTAAGACACTACAGGGAGAGAAAGTTATTCAGCAAGTTTTCCTTGTTTGCAATGTATATACATTCTTTCCACTGTAAACATCCTTTGACAATGTGAGGGTTTTTCCCCCCAACTCACCTAAAATACTCTGTTTGCACATAAATTCCCTAATTTTTGTTCTGACCTTAAGAATAACCTTCTCACAGTATTTTTGACTGCAGTTGTGTGAGTGGAAAACTATGCAAGACGAATTTGTCCCACAATCATGGGGTGTGAGAGAACAAAAACAAAAAAACCCACAAACACCAGGGTAGGTTTATGGTCACTAACCTCAGCTAGCCCAGTTTAACTTGTACTTTTTCATTTGAACAGTTCTAGCATATATTTAAGCAGTCAACCGCATCTGTAAGATCTTTACAAAGTATTTCTGACCAAACACAGTGTTATCTCTTGTCAATATCCAGTACTTCAATATATTCATGAAATACACCTCTCCCTTCCTTACACTAGAGACTGATATTAAACAGCCTCTGAAAAACAAAACAAACACCCAAAATCTTCTCTTGGCCAAGACGCAGGATACAGAATTTAAATTCCGAATATATAATTTAAGGAGAAAATAGGGAAACTCAGTGTCTATATCCCTTAGATAACAGACCCTAGTTCATGGAGGATGAAACAGCACAATCTCTTGGTAAATTCAGCTGTACACCCCAGGCTGAATTCAGCTTCAACCAACATTATATTATTTTTATTTCATATATTCACAAATAGGCAATTCCAAAGAAAATTTATACCCTGCACTTCAAATCGTGCAACAAAAGGAAACTGAAGGCCAACACCATATCACTGCTGATATGGGAATATTAAAAAGGAAGCTTATTCTAAACATATTTTCTATTATCCTGTCTTCCTGAGCAAGAAAACAAGAAAAAAATTAGAAAATAAGAAAACACTTAGTACAAAATCTCACACAAAATCCTTGCCTTGAAGATTCCTGTTATTTTCTGACATACCCTACACCCAGAACCAAGCAAAACTGTTCTCATGCAGCGAAATGTTGGCCACATTAAAGCCCGTGGCAAAAGTCCAAGTGACTTCAAGGGTCCCGGGTCTCACTCAGAGTGTCTGGTAAAAATGTCAGAACATTCCTCTTTGCAAATCCAAAAAAATTCACTTCTAGCAGAAACCAGTTAGTAGCCAGCAAAATAACAACAAAATAAAAACAACCATACTTTGAGAGCAGAGAAGGTTTTACTTCAGCCAAGTTTGAATCGAAAATTCAGGGCAGCTCTTACTTTTCACATAAACTGGTTGCCTTTTCCTACAATTTATTATCTCCATACATGCCACCATACAGCATATGGTCCTTTATGCTCCCAAGCATGAAAGTCTGGTGTGCCTGTGGCCACCTGTTACAGATTTTCCATTATGAGAAAAAGAACAGGAACCAAAAATAAAGAATAACTACGCTGAGGAAACACTATATGACCCTACCCTGAGAAAAAGGCTGTCATTTGACATCAGCTTCTGAGAAGGAATTCCAGCAACAAACTCGAGGCAAATCCTCAGACAGCCCTCCATTTGTGGAGCTGTCTGCCAAGCAGGCTCCTATTGATAACACAGAAAGTATTCAAGGAAGGAGACAATTCCAAGCAATCAGAGCACTGAATGCTGGGCCTGAAAGATGTGTTTATGGCACTGCCCTAAAAACATGAAACAATAATTTCCACCCACACAAATGAGCAAGGTGAGAGCTTCTTTTCAGCTGAGCCACTGGATTTGTAGAGGTAGAGCCAGGAGGTCTTGCTTGGCTCTGCTGATGGAAGGAAGCAGTGAAAAAAGAATGAATTTATGCACCTTTTGCTGTGTATGTAAACAGAGATGTATCCTAAAAGTTTAAAGATCTAATTTTATGTAGCTAGAGGAAGATCAAGTAGAATTTGGTCCCAGTCAGAATGACAGAGTAAAGTGAGCCAAACTTTTCAAATCAGTGATGTCTCATGAGATTAAACCAAACAAAACCAACCAAGAAAACCTCACACACAGGGCAGGACCTAACCCAGGTTTGACACCCTGTGAATGTGAGAGTAGATGAGTTATATAGGTTATACAGCTTCCAGAGAAGTTAGTAGAGCAAACAGCAAAGGAATAGCCCAGAGAAAGAATCTGAACTGCAAAAATTGGATGTGAAGCCGTGCTCTGCTGTTACCTGCCATTAGACACTGCAGACTGCCACACAGCATAAGCAGTATATAACAAGCCCATCCTCAAAAGCTGGGGGCACATGGTGCCAAGAATTTCACTGAAAAAACAAGTTACAGTATGTGAATTGGGGTTTAGCCACAGCCAGCTGACACAGCATCAAATGTGACCTGTCCTTGTCTGCAACTCTGTCAGTTTGGAAGGAAGAGCCCAGTTAGTGACCTAAATTGCTAATAAAGACAAGGCCTTATCTGGACAAAGTCTGTCTTCAGCACTGCCAGCAGAAAGTCTGACTTGAGCATATCACAACTCCTTATGCAAGACTTGATTCAGCAAGGACAGCTTTGGCTTAGCTGTTGGCTTGCCTCTACATACCATGGAGAAATTCCAAAACTACCATTTACTGTAAGCTCCCCTTCCAAAGGTGGTGTGTTAGTGAGCCTGGGTGAGTCCTACCTGAGCCTCAGCCCTGCAGCCTGCTGTGCCCAGCCTGTCGTGACAGGACAAGCCATCCCTGTGTGCCGGGAACACAGTGGGATTCTGCTCCAATTACGTGTTCCTGAAGCCTCTCCGAATCCCGTTACACCCATCCCTCACCCAACCCACAGGAAAGCCAAAGCTCACTATTCCAGCTGCACAGCCCCTCAGCAAAGTGGACAGCAAAGAGCATTTTAATTGTGCCACTCTGCAGGGTTTTACCCTGACGCCTGCACAGCTCCCCACCAGACACAGAAACACGTTCGTATCCTAACACCGGCACACGCTCGCTCCGGCTTTTGGCAAAGGAGCACAGAAATCCCGACTCTTTATCTGTAAAATCAGGGCCACACCCCATCTTCATCAGTTCATTCTGGCACCATATGAGCATGTGTATATCCGTGTTTCGCTTACTTCCCTCCAGCAAGCACCCTGGACTTGAGCAATCTCAAAGATCTAAGGTGCTAAGCCTCCGCTCCCATTAACATTCAAGAGGAATTCAGGCTTCAGTCCACTAAGAGCTTTAAAAAAGAAAAAAAAAATCCCATCTAAATTAATTTGCCAGTAAGTCCTTTCCTGGATAAGGGTGGGTGAAAGCTACATTTCCAGAAATTCTGCCTTTCTGTGCAAGGCAAAAATCAATTCCATGCTGATTTTAAGGGTGGAAAAAATACAGACACAGAAATGCGGGAATAACTTTAGCGTGGGGAAACTTTAAAAAGGCACAATGGATCACCCCCTAAAGCTACAACACTTCTGCACAACCCAGGTGCACACTAGTCCACCATTTAAAAGCAGTCTGAGACTTCCCATTAAAAATAAAAAATAAAAAAGGAGACAAGCATTTGAACCCACTTTGTCTTGTTGCAGGCATTTCCCCTGACCCAAAGAAACACGATGGGTTTGGCTCTCCAGAGAGATCCCAGAGCCCAGACACTTGAGCTCCACAGCTGAAGAGCTGCTTTGCTCTTTAAAGCTCACAAAACTGATGTCCAAGGCATAACCAATTACACATTTGAGATGGTTCTACTACAAATACCTGTAGTGGAGATGCACAGGCTTTAGTTAGAGTGACACACCTACATCTCCTTGCCCTGAGAAGAAAAGGAAAACAGCACCAGAGCATGGAAGAGCCTTCTCTCTCAGAAAACAAACTGAAAGACACCAGAGTAGTACAATACCACTGAAAAATGCCTTGCTGGAGTCCTCAGATATTTTAAGGGTGAGCTCCGTTTTATCATCTCCAATGCAGAGACTTATTTTTAAGGTATCCCACTAATTCATCTTCCCTCACTGTTATTTTTAAACCAGTTTTAATTCCAGCAAAGAGGAACATTCTTTACAACGGTCATCATCCTCACAAAGAGTGCAGGAGCGTTTTACATGTTGAACACATGTGTAAGAACCAAAAACCTGGCAACAGATTCTTCATCTTTTTTTGTTACGTTCTCTACCAGTTGATAAAGCATCTCTGGCAGGACAATTCTGAAGGAACAGAGACTTGCAAAATGTCATTCATTACCCAAACAATAAATCTTGATGCTTGAGGGTCTCATTCTATGTTTACTTTTTTTTTTAAATTTAGAAAACATTGGATTCAGAGAAAATACACACACCACTCCAAAGTCAGCAGCTGTTAGAAGTAGAGGGTGCAACACTTTCTTCAGCAACAGCAGCTTGGCTTTTCAGTCTGGCATCCTAGTAGCTTGTGAAGACCCTTTAGTTCCAAGTGTGTCAGGAAAGCCAGTGCAACCAGGATTCATTAAATTAAACTGTCAGGAACACGTAGGATAGCCATGTTTTGAAAGCTTTTAGGTGGAAATGTGATATGTGGCCAACTCAGGACCTGTACTGGCTTATCAGAGCTATCTACATTTCTTGCCTTTCTTACCTACCTCTACTTAAACAGCATAAAGTTTGTTTAAAATAAAATCTCAAGAAACTTCAGTATTCATTAGGGTGCCCCAGTATTATAAATGGCCCTGCTTTTGGAGGAAGAAATTTCATACGTATGCTGAAAAATAAAAAGCACTAGCACTTGAACGTGACACGGTCATTTAATAGATTTCCCCATACTAAGTGTTCTACAGATCTGGAAGAGAAATACAGACAACCACTTCCAGAGTAAAATGTCAGGAAGTTCAGCAGAGTTTCAATTGCTGTTTTCTACTTCTAGGTCTCTCAGTCAGAGAATCAGGCTACTAGTTTTTATTTATTCATTTTCCCTCCAAAGCACACAGGCTGTGAACTGAACCTCCGGATACCCAAATACAAACTTTGTAAGCAAAATTACTGCATAGATGGAAGCTTTGCAAGCTCTGACCAAGATTAGAGAAGAAATAATAGCAAAGACACTCTGCAAGAGGCAGAACTCACAAGTTTTCCAGAGCTCGTGTTTAGAGTGAACATGAGCAACCTGGACAAGTTCACTGGGGTATCATTTTTGCAAACGGGCTCTGTCTCCCAACAAAAAAGAAAAAAACCAGCAACAGACGATCGGAATTTTAATGTTTTAGCCCATACTCGTGTCTCCCAGGCAAGTTGATACTAGGGGTCACTTCCCATGTACGGAGAAAACAATCTTCATGGATAATAATGATAAAACCTTATGGAATGCAGCAACAACCAAAAAATGTATTCTCAGATGACTACATTAGGGCCAAGTCAATATTAGTCCCACTTCACCCACGCACTGCATAGTCTAAAAATGCTGTCAGCCCGATAAGAATTTCCTGATTCACTTTAAAAAAAAAAAAAAAAGAAAAAAGAAAAAATACAACATCTGATCACCAAATTCAGCTGGTGGAAACTCGCCGCAGACGATCTTCCAGGGGATGAGCGGCGGTGCGGCGCGCCCCGTCCGCGGGGAGCAGCGCGGGTTCCGCCGCTGTGCGCACCCGCGGACCGGGCTAAGGCGCTGCTCCGCGCCCGCAATCGGGGCGAGCGGGGACACCCAGCAAGGAAGGCGGACAGAAGCGGGAGAGGAGTAAGGAAATAACTTTTCCCTCCCGCCCCACGCCAGCTGAGCGAGCCAACATCCACCCGCCAGATGCAAGAATTTGGGGGGAAAATGCTTTTTTCTGGTTAGGAAAGCTCTTACCAGGCTCCGCTGCTCCGGGGCACCCTCGGCAGCTCCCCGCATCTCCAAATCAGGCCGGGGGCTGCGGAGCGCATCGCTGGCTGGCCGGAGCGGAGGTCTCCGCCCAGGGCAGCCAGCGATGCGCCATGCACCCGCTGAGGGAGGGCCTCCCCAAAAAACCCTCGCATCCCCCAGCCCTCCGCACCGCACAGCGCTGCCCTCCCCGCGGCTCACCTGCGCGGGCGCGGCCAGATAGCGGGGCGCCCCGCACGCCGCCGCGCCGGGCTGCTGCATGGCCACGTCCGAGCAGCTCATGGCCGCGGCCGCCCCGCGCCACCGCCCTCTCCCCCTTCCTCTTCTTCCTCCTTCTTCTTCTTCTGCTGCTGCTGCTGCTCCCGCTCCCCGGCGCGGGGCGGCCGCGGTCGGGCGCCGCGCAGCCCCGGCTGCCAGCGCATCTTCGGCGGCCGCCGCGCCCCGCGCCCGCACTTATAGCGCGGCGGGGCTGCGCGGGGCGCCCCGGCGGCCGCGGCGGCGGCGGCGGCAGCGCCGCGGGGCGGGGACGGCTCCGCGCCCCGCCCGCCCGGTCCGCGGGCGCGCAGCACCTGCCCGGCCCCGCCCGCCGCGCCGAGCGGCCCGCGGGTCACGGCCGCGGCGTCCCCTCGCTGCCGGCTGCGAGCGGGAGGCGCTCCGGTGAGTTCTTCTGGAGCAGCGAGGGATCGCTGGAGTTGGTGTCACCTGTATGGGCCACGCTTCAGCTCCCCAGGATTCATCCTGGAAATTCATCTGGGAGGAAGGAGGAACCTACGAGTTCCACAGGAGGATGGAGGATGTGGGATGCAGGCTGAACTAGCCCGGAGTCACTCTTCCTTCCCCACATTTGAATGTTTAAAAAAAAAAAAAATTAAAAAAAATTAAAAAGTGTACTTCTCAGCTTGAAAAATAGATGGAAAACTCGGATCTGGTTGTAATGACTTCAGTTGTATTCAGATATTTTCCTGGCCTACCTCCGTGTGCACATTACTGCCAGCGAGCTGCCCTGCTGCAGTGCTGTGCTTGGAGGCTTTCGATGCCATTCCTCACATGGAAAAGACTATGCCTTGTTAGCATTATCCCAGCTTATGAGCCTGGGAAGGATTTACACTTGTTTGCTCTTGTATTCTTCTCATCAGGTCTAAAGTGAATTATTTGAAGTTTCTTTTTCACAAAATTTGTTTTGAAGTTTACCTATATTTAATAGTCGCCAGAAATTGAAACCTTTGATCAAAATTTCTACATTTATACTCTCTCCCTCTCTTTGCATCTATATGCACACAAACACACAGACACATCCTCTTGGCCAGAACAGTCAGATGAATACACAAGGTTAAAATAGCTCTGTCTGACCCCAGTAGCATTCCCTGTTTGTAGAAAGCATATCTTCAAAACATTCAAACTGCAATACTTTGAACAAAGGTCCAATTTCCTGCATACATGTTTAGTTTCTTTTTTTTTCTTTTTTTAAGTTTTGTGCATACAGTTTTTAAGGTAGTTTTATGCTTTTTAACCAGCACTCTGATAGCCTGTTCTTGTTGCATTTTGTAGATCGATGTGAATGGACTCCAGCTGAAGCTCTCACCTTTGCAGTCACTGCGAAGTTTCTGCAAGGGTAAAATGCCATTGCACATACCAAATGCATGGGCTCCTGACCGGTTTCTTTGCCAAAACAGAAAATCCAGGTGCTGATTGCTATCTGCAAATCTCTGTGTGACCCCTATTAATTTGAGAGATCTCTTTCCCCTCCTTTCCTCCTGCTGCAAGCCCAAGGCAGGACATCATCCCGCCGGGGCGCTCGCAGGACCGCAGGCCGGCAATACCAAGCACCACCCTCTGCAGTTCGCTGCTCCTGGCCACCAGCCTGCTCCCGACTCCTGACCTGCAGGCTTTTACCGCAAGCACATGGCCAGGCTGCCTCCAGGCATTCCTCTGGCCGCCGTGTCTCCTGGCACCTGGCCTCCTCGCCTCTGGAGGACTGGCTGCTATCCACCCTCGCAGATCCTCCCCGGGAAGCACGAAGGATTGTGAAACATGTTTCCTGGTTTAGGGAGGGTGTGTTCAGCACCGTTCTGTCTGAGGTAAAACGCTCTCACATGCAGTGAAAACAAGGCCTGCTGTTAGTTTATAAAAAATGACACCCCAAAAACCCTGAACAAAACCCTCTTATGCTTAATAACACTGAGAAAACAAGTAAAATCACAAATAGAAACAAATTCTTTCAATACCAATTGATCATTTTTAGGAGAAAATCCAATATCGGTCCTTAAAGCAGAATGGACTAAAATAGAAAATGATTTATCGTTTATTATGTTAATGTGACACATTGAAGTGGGAGTACATTAGTGATCATTTTTCACCCAAGTACATGAGGCATTTGGAAGAGATTTATAAATGCACTAACACAGAGATCACTGTTTCCACAGAATGCTGAAATGCTCCACTATTCAGTTAGCACACATTTCTTATTATCAGATCCTGACAGAATTCCTATCAGATGCCTTCGGGCACGGTACGGTGGCATGATGCATCCTGTCAAAAAGCAGATCAGGACCATTATCAGGCAGATGTTTGACACGATGCATCATGTTACTCAGCCAGTGGCACACTGCCATTGCTCAAAAGGATTTTGACATGATACAGTGTGCCAATGCTGTAGCACAAAACCAGCACCTTCCAAAAATAGGGACAAATTCACCTCTGGCATAAGTCGAAGTAACTGCAGTGACTTCATTAGATTTGCATCTGCTTATGTCAACAGTGAGTTGGGTTCGTAATCTCAAATTTATATAAAAGAGTGGTAGGTGGCTACATTTTCAGGTATTTGTTCTATTGTTTTCTACTCCCAGCATTCAAGCATCATGAGACAGCTGGGGTGAAACCGCCACCTTTCTCAGCTCCTCCCCCTGCACCCCACAAGAAGCAGCATCAGATTTCCATTTTTAACAGTGTAACAATACCTCAGAGTACATAGAGGGCCACTCTTTTCAGAAACTTGGGAGGTTGTGAGTTTGGGAATTTCACAAGCAACAGGAATTTACAGAAAGGGAGGAGAGAGGATCTCTGCTTTCTGCCTCTGTAGTATTTCTCCACAGTAGCTGCAAGTGCTAGGTGCACAACAGCAGCAAAATAAATTTTGAGTGGCAATTAGAGTAACAGTAAAAGAATGACATGAAAAAGCAACCAGGATGAAATGTGAGATCTGATAAGATTTGGAGAGTTCTTAAAAGGCATTGTAATTTATTGTTGTTCCCTTTCATCACTCTGGAATGAAAAGCACAGCTTGCAGATGCCTAACACTGACAAAAGAAGAGGAGGGGAACCAGCTAAGGTATGACTGGTGTGAGACCTTCTTTACAGAAGAGAAACATCCCAGCTTTCTGCCTCAATCTGTTTCTTTGGTGAGGAAAAGGACTGATTGGTTCTATTTTAAATAAAGTTCATTCATGTTTGCTGTGTGTTCTGGCTTCTTAAATCCATCAGGGTACAACTGATTCTTGGACCAGCTGAACTTCTGTGATGCTAAGAGTAACCAGAAGGAATAAAGACCAGAAAAGCCTCAGAAAGCACTCAGTAAATGCCACCACCAAACATGACTTGGTACAGCAGCTAGGTGGGTTGTAAAACCAAGGGAAAATGGCTTGTCTGATACACTGGAGATCTGAAGGAGGCAGGAAGAGCACAGCAACATGGCAAAGCAATCTTCAAGCATTCATTTACTTGTCTGCTCCCAGATGAGCTTTACTGTTGGATTTAGAGGTGCTCCCATCCCTTCCACAGATCAGAAAAGTTATCTAGAGGTCTAAATAAATTCTGGAAACAGTTGCAAGCATCTCAAACTTTTTGAACAATACCAGCAAGAAGCAAGGGTCTTTCCCCCCTCTTCTCACCACTATACAGTTATTCCCGAATATTTCTTTGAGGAGACAGCTCTGTACAGTCCCCCAGAGGTTACAGCCACCAAAACAACCCCTTCACTGCTGTATCCTATGCCTCCTCCTCCTTGTTTCACCCTCTGGTGACATTCTATAAGTATTTAAATCATTGGAAACCACACCCCATCTAGCTGTGGTTGGTGTTTGCAGGCAAACGCCCTTGGCTTTGCTGTTATGGCCCGCCCAACAGCCAAAAACATAACGTGCTAGTTTTTCCTCAAGGAGACCAAATTGGAAGATACACATGGCACCCCAAGGAAGTACACACTAGGCATTACTTATGCCTTATGTATAAAGGAATAGGAAGGTTAAAAACAATGTTTGTTCACAACTAGCTGGGGATTCTCTGATGAGATGGACAATGATTTTTCTTTTTTCAAGAAGTCAACTTTGATGAAACAGCTTTTTTTTTTTTTTTTTTTTTTTTTTTTTTTTTTTTTTTTTTTTGTGGAGAACAACCAGCCTTGAAAAAAAAACAGTCTGTAAAAGAAGTTAAATTTCTGGTGAAATCTGCCATCACACAAATTTCTAAAGGTTTCACACCAAACTGCATTGTACTGGGTAGCCCAGCTGTGAAGTCTGTCTTGACCTCACGACTCAGGGGGCGCTAGGCAGGTTCCTCTAAAATTGCAGTGCCATCACCACTGGATCTACATTTACAGCAGATCCACTGCAAGCCCCAGAAGAGCAGGAGGCAACAGAGAGCTCAGAAACTCCTGGGTTGAGCTCTATCTTTGCTCATTCCCCAGGGAAGAAGCACAAGTTATAGGCAGTTGCTTTCATTTCTGAAGGAAAGGAAGGGAAAGAGCCTGCTTCAAACACTTGAGGAGGGAGAGAAGGAGGAGAGTTATCTCCATTCTGGAGGACAAAGCTTCTCTCTGTACATCCATCCTTATATTGCTCCAATTTGAAACAATACAGAAATTGAAGGGTTTAGTGTTTGAAGCAAAGTGTTCCATTCATGCAATGACATTTTAATTCACAGAGCACCTTGTGAATACAGGAAACATCTTCCTTATGCCTGTAGCCATACACCCTCACCACCAAGGTTTTGACCCCACTGGAATAGGAGGCAGCAGCAGTGTGACAAATACATTACCCTGAGATTTTAGGATCTCTTGATTCAAAAAGCAGCAAACCACTGGCCAAAGTTATGAACTTGAGATGCACTGTGATCTCTCCACAGAATGTGAGGATCTGGACACCTCTCTGGTCATCTCCTTCGTATTTTGTAATAAAACCAAAGTTGCAGTGCCAATTACAGCAAGTATCTTTCTTCAAACCACTAACAGCTTTCACATTTCATGCCTGTAATCTTCAGTAAATAGATCAAGGACTGTTATTCATTTT